TTCTAAAGTTAGGTTTTGGTCATTAGAGGTATAGATTTACCCCTCACGATGATCATCGATCCTTAAATTATTAAATTTTAGGTTTTGTTACACTAACAATGTGAACAAAAAATTATATAAAATTTTATTCGATGAATGACTAGAAGTAGAGTGATATGTAATTTGTGTATAGATGTATTAATCTTATGTTGAATTGTTTTAATAGAAGTCGTTGGCTTTATTAAAAATAGAAAAACTACAAATTATAATTAAACTTTACAATCATAATCGTAAATTAAACAAATAATAATGATATTTTTTTCTATAGTCATTAATACAAGAAAACTAATCATTAAGATCACAAGAGAAACATATAAGGAAAATTTTAAAAATCTAACCAAATAAACTTGAACAAAAGGTAGATATGAATAGATATAACTGCATTGACAAACAAACCATAAAAGAGGATCAAGCTCTTGAAAGATCACTGACAAATCGTAAATTAGGGTTGAACGATGTAACCCGTACCTAACCCGGTACGAGTCTGAGATGTCACATTGACTTTTTAAAACAATATTCTTACAAAATAACATAACATTTGGACTTATATTAAGAAAATACGATAATATACTGTTGAATTATGTTTCGTTATAACAAATTTAAGGCAAAAATGTTTTTATAAATAGTGCTATATTGTATGAATAGTACTGATACTGTGTGAATAGTACCAATATTGTGTGAACATTAATGAACAGTATCGATGCTCAAAAAACATTGAATGTAAAATGTGTATCGATACTGCTACAGTGTACCGATACACTGTTACAGTAATTTCAGCCTAACATATATAAAACTCATAAAAATATTTAAACTTTCATCACTATAAAGTTATCATTTACATAATTACGTTTAAAACATTACAAAACTCGATCAGAGCATACATACTTAATTTAACGACTTTGTTTACATGCCAACCTATTTATCACATAACAAGACATACTGTGTAATTTACTTCTGATCTGATCTTCGAGTGGAGATATGTTGTTCTGCTGAGCTTATATTGGATCATTCTGCTTTTCGGTACCTACGTGTAAAACGCTTACACGCTAAGTCATAGAGTTAATGAGGCATAAAATATAATAATAATGCATCTCATATACATAGGAACATGCAATCTAATTATTCTATCATGTCACAGATAATTCAGTGTAAATGATAATAGCATGATAACATGTAATAATGCAAACACTTTTGATACCTTTTGTAAGCCCAAGTACATTATTGAGAACTTTAAGGTATGTGAGTACATTGAGGTTGTGCACTTATGATGTCACCACTTCTCGTATGGGGTCCTACTGGGGGCATGTGAAATTTATCCCGAATGACCACTTATACCATATATGTCCCGAAGGATCACGTAGAACCCTCGACTCTTGGCATGCCAACTATACCTATAGCTCTCATATCATATAACATGGGCATTATTCTTATGCTTCATAAGTTCATGTACTCATGTCATTTCTCCTGTAATCACATATGTTTTTTCTTCTATCACATATATCATTTATCAAATCATGTAAACACATATAACTTATGCATGCATTGTAAATCAAATAACATTTTTGGAGTCACTTCTTACCATAGTAACTCCGTCACTGGCTCATCGCAAGCCAATGTTTGTTCAATAACATAAGTACAAATTAAATTTCACTCACCTATATCTCTTTATCTTTCCCTCGATCAATCTTACTTGTCAATTATTTAGGAACTCGTTTAGACTCAAAATCTACATAAACATAATTTCTGAGACAATTATTAGAAACCTAAACCTTATAACTTAATGTTAATAACTTAAGCTAATTTAATGAATAAACATTTACTTTTTCCTTGAGGGGGTATCGGTACACTATGGGTGTATCGGTACCCAAATTAGCTTTGAAATTTTTGTTTAAAAGGGGGTATCGATACACTGCCTGTGTATCGATACACATATTGCATTCGATATTTCTTCAATTAAGAGTGTATCGGTACATATTGAATGTGTACCGATACACCTTGCCCATAAATTGTATTTTAAGCACGAAAATTCACTTTTTTCAGCTTCAACACTTCATGTTTCCTTCCCTTTCATGTTCCTAACTCACATACATATTCTTAAACCAATTTATACTCATTTATCACATCTTAAACCTCAAAATCCTATTCTCCATACAGAAATCAATAATCATACTAAATTTTCAAGATGTTCTAAATCCAATTCTATCACTTCATATCTCTTAATTTAGTTGATGACAAGTCAAATTCCATCTCAAAGTTCTTTTATCAACTCTTTTTCAGAAATTCATTTAGAAACTTCTTATCTTTAATCTCTCATAACTTCTTCATCTTTTGATTATAAGACAACTTAAGCTTTCCTTAAGCTTAAGTATCACCTAAGGATCAAAACCCACTTTTAAAATCAACAAATAATCAGCTAACAAAGAAACTCACATTTGCCTTTGGTAGCTCACGTCTGAGGAAGATGAAGAAGAAAATATTCAACTATTCGACTATTTTACCCTTTACTTCATTTAATAATTACTAACTATAATTCATAAAATATCTCCAAATAAATTCTTGAACTATTCAACTATTTTATTTTAATCACCAAATTCTGAAGTTTTATAATTTAGTCACTAGCCAGTAGTTTGGGATGTTACAAACGACATGAAAAAACTATTCACAAACGCAAATCACGTATCCAAATTCAATCAGAGAGTCCAAAACAAGGAATATCAGCATGATAATATATAAGTGTCAAATCAAACCCTAAGAAAAAATACGAACAAAAACAATGACCAAACAAAAAAAGTGTCATAAAGACAGAGAAAATGATGTCAAAAAGACAAAAAAAAATGTGTCATAAAGGTATAATTATTAAAATTAAAAAACAAGAAAAAAGTAATGATATACTATAATAAAATAAAGGAAAAACAAAAAATATTTGTCGTCGGCAACTAAACTAAGACTAGTGTCACTGTCGATAAGAAATATGAAGAATAAAAAAGAATAATGGTAACCAAAGAAAATAGAGAAAATTAGAGCAAAGAGAAATCTAATTTATTACTTATGTTCAATTATTAGGTTATGATTTCTTATTTTTAATTTTTTATTTAAAGATAAAATAAAATTATAAATTAGAAGTAAAGAAAACTAATAATAAAAGAATTTTAGTATTTACTTGTTTTTAAGTGTGCGTTTAATATTGTCATATCTCGTTAACAAAAACATTTATCGTCAATTGAATATTTAATAAAAAAAATTAAAATTAGAAACTCTAGTATTTATATTACTAATTTTTTAACAAAATAATTTTTTTTTTAAAAATTATGAACTTTAAAAAATTGCCATCTTTTTAGATAGGGCAGGTAGTAGGATGGAGTTGCTCAATATGTTAGCTGAAAATTCAGGCATACATGATACGCCGCATAGTATGGAGCACCATTATCAATAGAAAGAAAAATTATAGAACGAATGTCAAATATTAATATCTATTATTAATTTTATAAGATAAAATTTATAAATAAATATTAAATTATATTGAAATGCTTCTTTTATATACTAAATTTTCAAAAATTATATAAAAGATATTAAATTTAGATTTTATTTTTGAATAGACACAATGCCATTATCTATAGTTGAAGATATGAGGTGACATAAAAAATAGAAATAGTTTATTTGACTCTTTAATTATAGTTAAAATTTCATTTTACTATTGATTTTAATTAAAATAATTTTTATTATGTTCATTGAATTGAAAATAAAATTGATATAAATAAATTAAATATTATTTTTAGTGTCATATTATAAATATTAAATTTATACCATATAAATTACTTGATACATTATTGAAAGTTAGGATTGTTTCATTTATTTTTATTTAAGTTTGGATGTATTTTTTTATTAATTTGATACTATAATTTTCTGAATATATTTTTTAAAACTGTGTTTAAACTTCTTAAACAAAAGTTAGGTGCTTGAATCACATCGTTTAATAAAGAATAATTACATTGTTTGATAATTTAATTTTTTAGATCTCAAAAATTATAACTTTTTAAATTTTACAAATACATTCACAATTAATAAGAATGAATAAATTTCAAAAAATTATAATTTCTATTTTTAAAAATAAGTTGCTTTAATATATTATTAAAAATCTATTGTTTTGAAATTATTACTTAAAAATATTCAAAAAATATAAAAAATAAATTTTTAATTATAATTGAGGAACTAAATAAGATATTTCATATTAATTTAGCATGATACGTCACCCCATTAATAATATTTCACAATCGCTATCTTTTTTTTTATAAAATCTAAAGTTTAATATCTATTTATAACTTTTAAAAATCCAACGACAAATGAAATCATTTTAATAAATTTAATTATTATTTAAATTTTTTTCATAATTTTATATTAGTGGTGCATATCGATGAAATCATTAATGGTGCGCATAAGTATATATCACGAATCATAGTCATTCGGAATTGGTCTTGTAAGAGATCTATTACAAAACGAATATGCTTATTTTTCAAATGATTCATATCGTTAAGTGTGCTCATTCCAAATTTCATTCCAATCAGATAATTCGCGGATGCCAAAATATCTCACGAAAATAAAAATATATTGTTATGAGACATATTAAGATTCAATCTTTGATTCATATTTCCTCGATCCATCCCAATAGAAAAGTGTTGTGATCCAAAGCTAATAATACTCCCTTTACTTTGGACCAATCTCTAATACATATTTAAGAATTAAAAAGTACAAATATCATGTTCAAAAGTATGATATAATTTTCCGAAGTTATATTATAGTATTGAAAATTGAAAAGATATTAACACCAATAGAAGCAAAAGAAGAATTTATATGACATAGACAAACTGAAATTCAGGCTCTAAGCCTCTAACGTACCAATTATTATTATTATTATTATTATTATTATTATTATTATTATTTATTTATTTATTTATTTAAAAATGTTTGATAAATGAATGTCTTTATCTACATTTAAATGAACCAATACAAATAAACAAACTCTCACCCTGCAAATTTAATATGTATTGCCATTAAATCCTTTTAATTTATGTTTGAATCTAACCATCAAGCTCGCAATGAAACAACGGTATCGCCGACAAATCTAGGTCGCCAAAAATAATATCGTCATCCTCAGTGTAGCTGCTACAGTCTTGATAATCAAAGTATGTTTGAACGTCATCTGGAAAGATTCGACGAGGTACATCGGGTTTGGGTGGCGTTGATGGACATGCAGCCGCCGAGGTCCTCTCTAACATTTCCTCCATTTTGGACGATTGCAACAAATGCCCCGGTGTTGATGATGCTGAGCTACCACTGTCATTACCATCGAGTAGTTGTGTATTGCTTGGAGATTCGATGAGAAACCTTGATTCAGTGTCATATTTAGGACTTGAGATCGAATTGATGTCACCATTAGAGCCTTGCTGAGAATTTGCAGAATCATTCAATTTACTTTGATGATTTGAACGTAAACAATCGATGTAACGACTAAGGTCGAAGTTCGTAACGGCGTTGAGTCCTCTGTGTTCTATGGCAGCCATGTCATATGCCATCGCTGCTTCTTCTTGTGTGGCTGGACATATTAAATATCATAAAAATCAAATATTTATTTGAATGAAAGTAGACGAACCGACTTGAAATAATACAACTGAATTAATGCATAAAATAAAGGAGAACTAAATATGCATGCAGATATGGGTGGAGAGTTGGAGATTTAGTACAATTGACTTTTTCAAATATTAAATGGCTTAGTAGGCAAGGCTGTTGAAGTTTGGCAAACCATATCTCAACCAACTGGATATCAATATAATTCATTCCCATCGTTTTCCTTTCGTATATATATAGCTAATTATGTACCAATTTTAAATTTTTGAAAGATTAAAGTCTCCCGCTATAATTTAATTAGAAATTTAGAAGCAATTTAAGTAAACAAAATTACCATATGTTCCAAGGTAGAGATATTTGTTTCCAAATACTCTGCCGATTCGAGCTTCCCATCTTCCATTGTGGTGGTGCCTACAAAGTAAATTAAATTTACGTTTGTGACTAATTTCTACGTTTACTTGAGAAGAAAACGCGAAATATTTCTCACCTGGCTACGCCTCTGTATTTCGACACTCCCCGAGCAAATCCGCTGCTTTTCCTTTGAATATCAATGGACAGGAAACAAATCAAATTTTGATTTAATTCGTTTGTTTTCCGAGCAATCGAATTTTGATTTAATGGTGATTTTGATCTCTTCTTGTTGAGTATTACCTGCGCAAAGAACCAATGTATTCTTCTCTTGATTGACCCTCCATTTCCTTGAGCTCATTTTCATAAGTTGATAACTACGAACAAACATTTGAAGGTTTCTTTTATAAACAATAATCGATAAAATGATGGAGAAGAAAAATCCAGGTGGAATCAACATACTGGGAAATTAAGGATAGTATCATGTCCCCAGTACTTCAATGCAGCCAAGTCATACGCGTGAGCTGCCGCTTCTTCATCGGTATAAGCACCTAACCAAGCAGCAGTACATCAAAAATAGTTAATTCCATCAAGTTCTGATAAAAAGAAAATGGGACTTTATATGGCAACTATATAGTTCTTGACTATGACAGGCGTATTTAAAGAGGGTAATGGGAAAAAAGAGAGATCATCAAGGTGATGAAACTCACCTAAATATACTGCATTAATTTCAGTTTCCATCTCGTCATCAAGTAAAGCAAAACCAACCATGAAATTTAATAGAATTAAATTTGAATTGTTAGTTTGATTGTGGGGGAAAAAGAGTCGCCAAAGGAAGGGGGAAATAGGTGAGGAAGAAGGATTAGTTATTACTTACCTTGTCTTCCTTTTTTGTTCTGCGATTCATTCCAGCAATTCTTATCCCATAAATGAGCTTCAAATCGCCCTGTCCATCGGTGCCTGATTAATTAAACCAGTGAATTAAGGCGTCGACAAATCAAAACAGAATGGCAACAAAAAATTAGAACGAAATCGCCAAGAAAGAGCACCAGTTCCCAGAAGGGACAATATTTTTGTATAAACAAACTATAAAACATGATCGTTAAATATATAAAAACGTATGTATGTATGGTTAATTTACCTTGTAACACCACGGTAAGTGGAGCTACGTTGCGGAGGAGAGTGACGGGGAGCAGTTTTCCGAGTCCGTTTCAGTTTGGTTGCAGGTTTTGCAGCAATGGGCGAATCACTATTTTCATTATCAGCACCGTTCTTCTGGTTTTGATGTGAGTTTTTCGCCATCAAAACTAAACACAAAAAAAGGGCTGAGCTCAAGCGTAAGGAACACACAGTCTCACGCTGTAAAAACGTAAAGAATGGATTGAGGAAAAGAGGGGGTTAAGGTGTTTGTTTGAGGGGAAAATAGAAGCGATAGAGAGGGTCTTCAAGGAAGTGTTGGTTTAGGCCGTCCTCGAGTGGCTTTTTCTCTGCTTTGCTTCGCTTTGCTTTGGTTTATAAGTAAATGCTCTCCCCACCATAATATATTATCATTTCCAAAGAAAAAAAATAATGAGATACACATTGATTTTGTTGTGGAAGACGGCTATCGGATAGAGCAAAACCGCAACTGATAATTTGAGGAAAATAAAAATGAAGATAAAATAGACACAAAATTTACGTGGAAAACCCCAAAATAATATAGGGTAAAAACCACAGGCAACGGTAGAAGAATTTCACTATGAGAAAATAGGAATTACAACCTCTCTCGATCTACCAAGGAGAAAACAATGATAATTCTCTCTTGATAAATAGGAGAAAACAACTCTAAAGAAACTCTCTAAATTCTCTCTAGTATTTGAAGAAAGCTAGAATGCTTTGGGATGATTTTGAAGCTAAATGAGCTAGGGTATTTATAGTTAAAGCTTAAGGACTAATTTGTAAATACCCTAAATTACAATGACTAAATTGTGTAATTTACCCTTTAGCAAAATTCAACAAATGTTGTTAATTTTCTTCTCCCACAATTTCGGTGCATTAATGCACCGAAAGCAGTCGAAACATTTGACTTTTAACAATCTCCCACTTGAAGATTTGATTGGAACAATCATATCTTCACACCATTCTTTCTACCTTGTACCATCACGTTGCTTACGTTTCTGACACCAAGTAAATTTATCAGCATTGATTGCCTTCGTCATGAAATCTGCTATGTCGTCTTTGGTATGAATCTTCTGCATATCTACCGTTCCTTCTTCCACCTTTTCACGAATGAAATGGTACTGAACTCGTATGTGTTTTGTCCTTGAATGAAATATTAGATTCCTTGCTAAATGCAACCGTTAACTGTCACAAAATAGAGAGACATACTCTTGATTGTGCCCAAGCTCCTCCAATAGCATCTTTAACCATATTGCTTCTTTACTGGCTTGTGTAGCTGCTACATATTCTGCTTCTGTTGTAGATGTAGCCACAACTAACTGCAACTTAGAAACCCAACTTACAGCTCCATCAGCAACTTTGAACACATATCCTGTTGTAGATTTGCTTTTATCCAAATCTCCTGCATAGTCAGAATTGACATACCCATTGATAAGTAAGTTTGATCCTCCATAATATAATGCAACATTTGAGGTCCCTTTGATGTATCTAGGATCCTCTTTACTGTATTCTAATGCTCTTTGCCTGGATTCGCCATGTACCGACTAACCACTCCCACTACTTGTGCAATATCTGGTATTGTGCATATCATAGCGAACATTAAACTTCCCACTGCTGATGCATACGGTACTCGAGACATCTCCATCCTCTCTTCTTCACTGCTAGGACTCATACTGGAGCATAATTTGAAGTTAATACGAAGAGGGGTAGAAATTGGCTTACAATCGTGCATGTTGAATCGTCACAAGATCTTCTTCAAGTAATTCTTTTGTGAAAGCCAAATATTCCTATTACTTCTGTCTCGGTGTATTTGCATCCCTAGAATCTTGTTTGTTGATCCCAAGTCCTTCATTTCAAATTCCCTAGCCAGTTGTGCCTTCAATTCTTCAATATGATCTTTGTTGGGTCCTGCAACCAACATGTCATCCACATACAACAGCAATATAACAAAATCGTTATCACCAGACCTCTTGAAATAAGCACAAAGATTTGCATTAAGTCTGTTGTATCCAAGGCACATAATGAAGGAATCAAATCTCTTATACCAATACCTCGGTGCCTGGTTTAGACCGTACAGAGATTTATTCAACCTGCAAACCAAGTTCTTCTTTTCTTTTTCTTCAAAACCTTCAGGCTGGAGCATATAAATCTCTTCTTCAAGATTTCCATGAAGAAAAGTTGTTTTAACATCTAGCTTCTCTAGATGTAAGTTCAATGTAGCACACATTGCCAAAACTACTCGAACTGTTGTTAGTAGAACCACATGAGAAAATATTTCATTGAAATCAATACATTCTTTTTGAGCATATCCTTTGACCACCAGTCTTGCACGATACCTCTCAACTTGATCGTCACCATTTCGCTTGATTTTAAAGACCCATTTGTTACCAATTGGCTTCCTTCCTTGTGGTAGTGGCACAATGTCTCATGTATTATTTTTATGAAGGGCTTCAATTTCTTCTTGCATCGCCATCATCCACAGTGAAGCATCTGAGCTGTTTATTGCCTCCTGGTATGTTGATGGCTCACCATCCTCTGTTAAAAGACAGTATGCAATATTACCTTCTATAATATAATCTGAGTGTCAATTGGGACGTCTTCTCACACAATCTGATTGACGACTTGTTGGAGCTTCAGAACTCTCTGGTTCTTGTTCATCATGTGTTGGTTCTGCTTCAGAAGAATCTCCTTGTTCAAACTCTTTTTCTACATGTATCTGAGTAGTCTCTGAATTTTCAGTGCTATCATCGTCTTCTTTTCTTTGTAGTTTATCTTCTACAAAGACAACATCTTTGTTGATGATCACTTTGCAGGCAGTGGGATCCCACAAGCGATACCCCAAGAATTTTCATTTCCTGGATTTTGGATCCAACTTTGAAATTTCTTGGGAGTTGTACATCACATACACAATACTTCCAAATACATGGAAGTTTGAATAATCAGCTGGTTTACCAGTCTACATCTCCATTGGTGTCTTCAGCTCTATTGCAGTTGATGGAGCTCAATTCACCATATAACAGGCGGTATTGACTGCTTCTGCCCAGAATGATTTTTCTAGGCCTGCATCCCTCAACATTGCTCTTGTTCTTTCTAACAAGGTTATGTTCATCCGCTCTGCCACTCCATTTTTTTGAGGAGTGTTCGCCACTGTGAACTGTCTTTTGATGCATTCTTTCCTGTAAAAGTCATCAAATTTTTTGCTTTGTATTCTCCTCCATTATCTGTTCTGAAACACTTGATCTTATTTTCAGAATCAAGTTCCACTCGCACTTTGAAGATTTTGAAAGTTGAAAACACATCTGACTTCTTCTTAATATGGTACACCCAACATCTCATAGAGTAATCATCAATAAATGAGACAAAATATTTTGCTCCACCTAGGGATGTAACTGGTGCTTTCCATACGTCAGAATGAACCAATTCTAGAACACTTTTGCCTCTAGAATTTGACGTGTTGAATTTTAACCGGTGTTGCTTACTTGTTATGCAATGCTCACACAAAGGAAGTGTTACATTTGTTAAGCCTGGAAGTAGCTTTTGCTCCACAAGAACTTTCATTCCTTGTTCTGACATATGTATAATTTTCTGATGCCATAACATTGCATAATCTGAACTACATGAGGCAACAGAGGCTTCTGCTTCTAGCAAAGTCTCTCCCTTCAGCATGTACAAGTTTATTGCTATCTTTTCGCCTTTCAGCACCACAAGCGCTCCATGGAACACCTTCATGATTCCTTTCCGTGTTTCAATCTTGCTTGCATTATTATCCAACAATCCGTAGGATAATAAATTTTTCTTCAGGCCTTTCACGTGCCGCACATCTCGAACAACTTTAATTGTTCCATCGTACATCTTTAATTTGATGGTTCCCACACCAATGATTTATAAGGCATGATCATTGCAACTATACACATATCCTCCTGAGACAGGTTCATAATGATGGAACCATTCTCTTCTTGAGGTCATGTGATATGTTGCTCCCGAATCAATGAGCCATATATTTGCATATCTCTTTCTACCTTCCACGGTGGTTGACGCTTCACAACATAAAGCATCTCCATCATCTGAAGTGTTTGCGGTATTGCCTTGTGGATTGGAGTTTTTATTTAGACTCCAACAATCATTCTTCAAGTGACCCTTCTTTCCACAATTGTAGCATTTTAAATTCTTCTTGCTCCTCGACTTCGATCTACCATGTTTGTGACTGCTACTTTGGCCACGTTTTATTGATCTCCCTCTCATCGTTGTCAAAGCTTCTGCTTATTGCAGATTTACTTGTCTGTCTTCCTTATTATTGCGCCGATTTTCTTTTTGTAGAACAGCAGCTGCAACGTCATCGAAGACTAGACTGGTGACATTACTATTTGTCAAGTTGATGAGTTGATCATACGAATCAGGTAGACTTTGAAGTAGAAGTTCAACACGTTCTTGTTCTCCTATTGTACATCTTAAGGATATAAGCTGAGAAAATAACGTGTTAAGTGTGTTTAAGTGCTCCGTCACTGAAGTAGATTCTGGCATCCAGAGAGTGTACAATTTCCTCTTAAGGAAAATTTTATTGTACAACGATGTGGCATCGTACAATTTGGTGAGATGATCTCATATCTCCTTAGTTGTCTTCTTCTCCTCGATGCTTGACAATACTTCATCTGCTAATGCTAGATGAAAGTTTGCTATAACATTTCCATCCATTTCGATCCATTTGTTGTCATTTGTGAAATCTACCGGCCTTTTACTGATAGCTGCTAGACAACCGTCTTTCTTCAGGATGACCTTCATCTTCAATTTCCACAGTGAGAAATTTCTCCCATTGAATTTTTCAATATCAAATTTCGTTGCCATAGCTTCTTTTACGGATAGCTCCCACTATTTCACTATCGTGAATAGTTCTCTGGAACCTTCAAAGAATGGGTAATACCTTCTTACTTTCTTATGTTGGAGGATCCACCTTTTGGTGACAACCACAAAGACAATAAGTAGATACTACACACTCTAATCTGCTCTGATACCAATTGTTGCGGAAGACGGCTATCGGATAGAGCAAAACCGCAACTGATAATTTGAGGAAAATAAAAATGAAGATAAAATAGACACAAAATTTACGTGGAAAACCCCTAAATAATATAGGATAAAAACCACGGGCAACGGTAGAATAATTTCACTATGAGAAAATAGGAATTACAACCTCTCTCGATCTACCAAAGAGAAAACA